CCACCGCCACCATCATCACCACCACCACAATCATCTCCATTAGTACCATCATCCTCATAATCATAATCAGCATCAGCAGCATCATCAGCATCATCTTCATCATCATCCCCATCATCAGCATCATCATCATCAGCATCATCGTCATGATCAGAAGCAGTACCCCCACCACCACAACCACCATCATGGTCATCATCATCATAATCATCACCATAATCAGCATCATCATCATCGTCGTCACCATCGTCATCTCATCAGCACTCTCACCATCATCACCATCACTCAACATCATCACAATCATCATCGTCATCATCACAGTCACCACCATCATCACCAGCATCATGATCGACCTCAACATCATCATCATCATCATCATCATCATCATCATCATCATCATCATCATCATCATCATCATCCGCATAATAATCATCAGCATCATCATCAACGACAACAACCATCCATCAAATCAGCAATCAGCATCACATCATGCACCATAGCAGCAGCAGCAAGTTTCCCAATCAAGTTCATAGATTCCCCCACCAACCAACCAAAAACCATCAGATATTTCCAACCTCAAACTCCCGCCTCCCCCGGATCCCCCTCCCCCCATACCACCAAATCATAATCCACCTCCCCTAGTGCCGACCCACCTACCTATCCCCGTCCCCCCATCCCCTCCCTCCCCCCCTCCTACCTCCCTTCCTCCCTCCTCTTCCTCCTCATGATCAAATATATCATCAATCATACCTCCTTATTCCGCCATTCATCAATCATCCAACCCAACATAGGCACACCAACTCCCGCTCACACCCACCCAATACAAATCTGCATAACAGCCCCCCAACCAAACAGCCACACCATCACCATAACCATTACCATCGTAAGCATCATCATCGACGTCGTCACCATTGTAAGCACCCAAGGCATCACTACTTCGCATCATCATCGTCATCATCATCAGCATCATGATCATCGCCACCAGATCAACATCATCAACATCAGCATCATCATAGTCACCATCATCATAGTCACCGTCGTCATCATCATCATCATCAGCAACATCATCATGATCATCACCCCCCCACGACAACTACCACGACCATCCTCGCCATCAGCATCAAAGACGGCATCCTCATCAGCAGCAGCAGCAGCCTCACCATCAGATCATCATCATCATCATCACCATCATCATCATCAGCATCACCCTTATCACCGTCATCATCATCAGCATCAGCATCACCATCGTCAGCAGCGTCAGCATCATCATCGTCACGATCAGCATCAACAACAACAACAACATCATCATCATCATCACCAGCATCATCATCAAAGACATCATCATCAGCATCAGCAGCATCGTCATCGTCATAATCATCATCATCGTCATCAGAATCGATATCACCATCATCACTATCATCAGCATCATGATCATCAACCGCATCTTCAGCGTCACCATCATCAGAATCATCACCATCTCCGACACCACCGCCACCACCACCACCATCAGCATCATCATCATCAGCATCATAATCCTCGTCGTCATCATCATTACCATGAGCATCCCCAACATCATCAGCAGCAGCAGCAGCCTCACCATCACAATCACCATCACTATCACCACCACCACTAGCATCTTCATCATCATCGTCATCATCGTCGTCAGCATCAGCAGCATCATCATCATCATCGTGATCATCACCATCATCATCAGCAGCAGCAGCAGAAGCATCACACCCAGCATCACCATCATCATCACCACAATCATCGTCATCAACATCGTCATCAGCATCATCACCACCACCAACATCATCATCATCACCGGTTTCATCATCGGAACGACCCTGATCAACAGCATCATGATCATCACCATCAGCATCAGCATCATCATCAGAATCACCCTCACCATCCTCATCATCATCAGCATCACCGACACCACCGCCACAACCATCATCATCAGCAGAATCATCATCATCGTGGTCATCATCCGCAGCATCATCGTGATCATCATGAGCATCATCACCCTCAGCATCACCATCACCATCACCACTACCGCCACCGTCTTCATCAACATCGTCATCATCATCATCATCATCATCACTCGTATCATCATCATCCTCATCATCCTCATCATCAAGACCGTCATCGCCATCATCACACCATCATCACCATCATCATCATCATCATCATCATCATCATCATCGTCGTCGGCCTGATCAGAATCAACATCATCATCATGAAGACCACTATCGCCTTCATCATCCTCATTATTATCACAATCATCATCACCACCGTCACCACCATCACCATCAGCAGCATCCGCAACATCACCATCCACGTCATTATCAGCATCAGCATCAGCAGCGTCACCAGCACCATCACCGCCACCACCACCATCATCATCAGCATCACCATCATCAGCAGCAGCATCACCATCACCATCAGCATTATCATCACCATCATCAGCAGCATCACTATGAGCATCATCATCATCAACATCATAAAACAGCGGAACGGCCCTGCGTTGCATCAAAAAAATCAGCAGCAGCAACAGTAGTAGTAGTAGTAGTAATAATAGTAGTCGTAGTAGTAGTAGTAGTAGTAGTAGTAGTAGTAGTAGTAGTAGTAGTAGTAGTAGTAGTAGTAGTAGTAGTAGTGGTAGTAGTAGTAGTAGTAGTAGTAGTATCATCATCATCATCATCATCATCATCATGAGCATCATCATCCTGGTCATCATGGGAATTGGCAACATCATCATCACCGACATCACCGACAGCACCACCACCACCGGTCAGCATCAACATCATCAGCATCATCATCCTCGTCATCAGCATCACCATGTCCATTATCATCATCACCAACAACAACGGCATCAGCATCAGCATCACCATAACCACCTCCACCACCATCATACTCATCAGCATCGTCACCAGCATCACCCCCATGATCGCCATCAGCATCAGCATCATCATCATTATAATCATGATCAGCATCGTCGTCATCATCATTATCGTCAGCAACATCATCATCACCATCACCATCATAATCAGAATCATCATTATCTTTAAGATGGTCGTCAGCATCATCATCAAACTCACCATTATCATCGTCCATCATGAGCATCATCACCCTCAATATCATCATCGTCATCATGATCACAACAGACAGCCACCAGCACCACCACCATCATCATCACCATCATCACCATCATCATCATCAACAGCATCGTCCTCGTAATCATCATCATTGGCATCATCATCCCCAGCAGCAGCAACAGCAGCCTCACCATCACTGTCAGCATCAACACCCCCAGCATCATCGCCATCAGCATATCGATAATCCCCATCATCAGTATCATCATCATCATCATCATCATCATCATCATCATCAGCATCATCAGCATGACCATCAGCATCACCATCATCATCAGCATCATCGTCATCATCATCATCGTGATCATCGTCATCATCAGCATCGTCAGCATCGCCATCGTCATCAGCCTAGGAGCGACACTGATCAATAGCATCATGATCATCGCCATCAGCATCAACCTCAGCAGCATAATCATCTTCATCATCCCCATCCTCAGCATCACCTTCATTATCATAAGTATCATCATCACCGACACCACCACCATCATCATCGTCATCATAAGCATCATCACCGTCACCATCATCAGCATCGTCATCATGACCACCATCAGCATCATCAGCACCATCATCAGCATCGGCATCACCATCAATATCATCATCGTCATCATCATCATGGGCATCATCAACATCATCATAATCATCATCAGTAGCAGCCTCACCATCACAATCCCCATCACCACTGCAACCATCATCTTCATCAGCATCGTCATCATCAGCATCATCGGCATCATCATCATCACCATCATCAACATGATTATCATCAACATCATCATCACAAGAACGCCCCTGATCAACATCATCATCATCAACATCATCGTCACCATCCTCATCATGAGCATGGTCATCATCACCGACACTACCGCAACCACCACCACCACCATCATCATCATCAGCATCATAATCCTCGTCATCATCATCATCAGCAGCATCATCATCGGCATCATCGTCATCATCATCAGCAACAGCATAACCATCACCATCACCACCACCACCATCACCTCCATCAGCATCGTCATCATCATTTCAACCAGCATCATCATCGTCATCATCATCACCACCATCATCATCGGCACTTATCATGATCAGCAGCAGCAGGAACAGCAGCCTCACAAACGCCATCATCTTTTCCATGATGATAATTAATCGAGCCACTCAAGTCATGGTAATGATAGAAGCTGGGATTTAGAAAGACGGCCCCGGATTTCGAAGATCCGGTTTTTTGAACTTAGTAAACCAGTGTATGCGTTTACTAAATGATGATTTGTCTTGTTTTGATTGGGCAGCGCAATTTAATAAGTCCGTTTCTCGCTTTAGTAAATCATCGTCGTTTTCAATAAGTTGTTTTAAGAATGCGCGTTCATTCAGTACCATGACTTATGTAAGCCGGCGGAAACCAGCATAATCAGCATCGTCACCAGCATTATCATCATCAGCAGCATCAGCATCATCATCAACATCAGCATCACCACCATCAGCATCACCACCACCATCACCATCACCATCACCATCACCATCACCATCACCATCACCATCATCATCATCATCATCACCACCATCATATCATCATCATCATCATTATCATCATCATCATCATCATCATCATCATCATCATCATCATCATCATCATCATCATCACCCTCCTCCTCCTCCTCCTCCTCCTCCTCCTCCTCATCATCATCATCATCATCATCATCATCATCATCATCATCATCATCATCATCATCATCATCGGAACGACCCTGCTCAACATCATCATGAACATCACCATGACCACCATCGTCAACATCAGCATCAGCATCAGCTGTTTCATCATCACCACCAGTCCGGCACGACGGTGGGGGGCCCTCCCCGCTCCTGGCAGAGCTCAGGCGCAGCAGCAACTCCAGGGCCGCCGCGAGCGCGGCGGGGCCCACAACGGGCCCGTCTCCTGGCGTCCTGGCGAGGGGGCGGAGGAGAAGAGGAGGGAGAAGAGCAGGACGAGGGAGGAGGAGGAGGAGGAGGAGGAGGAGGAGGAGGAGGAGGAGCGTAGGGGGCAGGTGAGAAGGAGGCAGGGCGGAGGAGTTATGAGGATGAGGTGGAAGGGAGGAAGAGCGGAGGAGGAGGAGGCAAGGAGGATGAGGAGAACGCGTTGAGGAGGAGGAGGAGGAGGAGGAGGAGGAGGAGAAGGAAGTGGAGGAGGCTCGGAGTGGAAGCGAAGGAGGAAGAGGAGGAGGAAGAGGACGAGGAGCAAGAGGAGGAGGACGAGCAGGAGGAGGAAGAGGAGGAGGAGGAGGAGGAGAGGGAGGAGGAGGAGGAGGAGGGGGAGGGGGATGGGGCGGGCCAGCGTCACAGGGGAAAAGGAAAAGGCAACCGATGCGCCCCCTGGAAGCCCTGTGGGGCGACCACGGGATCATGGCCGTTGAGGGGCAGGAGTTCCACCTGCCAACACGGGAGCCGCGGCTTGCGCGAGGAGCGCGCGAAACGCTGCCTGAGGGGACACCCAGCCGCGGACGAGCCGCACTCGAGGGGCCCCAAGAGCAACTCCTCATAGAGACCCTACCGCGGACGTACCGCACACGAGGGCACCCATTAGCTCCCGTAAGGCATACATGGAAGGCACCTCACAGCTAATCGATGGCGTCGGCGAGCTCGCTCAGCTGCTCAACGCCCAAAGTGTCGAGGTGCTCAGTTGTTCCAACGAGACGGGCGGCAGCTGCAGGTGCGCGTCCAACAGAACATGCTCCACCAGGATCCACACGCGGAGCTCCGCCAACGTCGACGGCCGCGGGGCCCCCGACACCCGATAGGGAGCGAGACGGCCGAACCGCAGGCGGCGCCGCCGCATCCACAGCGACAGCACCGCGGGCAACCTCCCCTGCAGAGGCGGCCCTCGTTCGCCTTGGGGACAGCGCGTCGGCCCAGCTGCCGTCGAACTCCTCGCCGCCGTCGAGCGGCACCGCGACCTCGGCCTGCCCCTGCAGGGCGCGGGAACGCCACGCCCGGTGCCGCCGCCGCCTGGGCTGGGAGCCAGCCCTTGGACGGCACGGCAGCCGCAGGCGGAGCAGGCGACCGCCGCGACACTTGGACGTTCGATATAACAGAAGGTTTTGCTGGCCCCCAGACGCCCCAAGAGGCCTCCAAGAGCACTCCCCAGAGGGCCCCAAGAGGCAAAATTCATTACTTTTCCTTAGGTTTGGGGCAGATTTTGGCGTGTCCATCTTTTCGGCTTCCCGACGCCCCAAGACGGCCCAAGAGGCCCCCAAGATCGCCCCAAGAGGGCCCAAGAAGCTCCCAAGAAGGCCCCAAGATGGCCCAAGAGGGCTCCAAGACGGCCCCAGAGGCATCCAAGACGGCCCAAGAGGGGCCCAAGAGGGCCCCAAGCGATGCCCCAAAGGGGGAACACAAAACAAAACTTCGAGCCCTCGGCCTTAAGAAGCCCCCAGGAGGCCTCAAGAGGCCCCTGAGAGGCCCCAAAAGCCCCCAAGAGGCCCTCAGGAGGCCCCCAAGCGACGCTGAAGAGGCCCCCCAGCGGCCCCAAGAGGCTCAGTCATGCGAAATGGGCCAGCGGAATGAGCGAAGCGATTCAATAACAGAGGGTTTTGCTCGCGCGCGTAGCCGCCTCTTCTGTGGCCCTCTGGGCTCAAGGCCCCATGCGGGGCCAGCATTTTTGGGGTGGGCGGGCGGGGCCACAGCTCGCCTGCACGGCCAAGGCCCGGCCAGGCATTCTGAGGAGTGCTGGGACATGGCAGGGCCAG